AAAAGTGCAATTACTAGATTCGGCTATATGTGAAACAACTGAAAGCATGAGGTAGCGCACATAATCAAGTAAGAAATAATAATGATATCAAATATGATGAGCTGAACCTTAATACATGCAAAAATGGATACAAAGCATAGGAATGATAAGAGAAAATATGATGCTAACCATGGTAAGCATTTAAATAAAAGGGAAAAAGAAATGGGGTTGGAAGACACACATCAAGTGTTACAAATTTGCCCTCTTACAAGAGGGTCCGAATGGCCTAATCAACTAATTATTACAAAATACGAATGGTAGCACTTACGTTTTCAGTTTTTTATTTATATTTACAAAAATTTTAAAAACTCAAATAAAAACTTGTTTGGTAAAATTTTTTATTTATAAATCAGTGGTCTCAGTTTATAAATTTGGCAAAACATATATTTCCATTTTGAGTTTTCAATTTTTATTTTTTTTTACCACCAACACTAGCACCACCCCATCATTTTCCACCACCGTCTTCCGCCACCACCACCCACCACCACACCCCACCACCACCTGCCACCACCACTCACCACCTACCTGCCACCACCACCCGCCACCCACTCGCCACCCACTCGCCACACCCACCCACCCCTTGCCACCACCATCCACCGCCGCCACCACCACCGCCACCTACCTTGCCACCACCATCACACCCACCTGTCACCACCAGTCCACCACCCACCACCACCACCCACCCGCCTTCACCCCCCACCACCCCACCGCCACCACGATCACCCACCACACCCTGCCGCCACCACCCCCACCCCACTCGCTTCCCACCTAACCACCCGCCATTTCCACCCCACCCACCACCCACCATACCCAGCCGCCACCACCGCTTTCAGCACCCACTGCCACCACCACCACCACGCTCGCTACACCCAGCCATATCACACCACCACCCACCCACCACCACCACTCGCTACAACCACCACTCGCTACCACCCAGCCACCACCACCACCCGCCACCACCACCCACCTGCCACCACACCACCACACCACCACCCACTCGTTACCACCCACCACCCACACCATAACACCACCCACCGTCACCACTTTCCACCACCGTCTTCCACCGCCACTTACCACCACTTGCCATTTCTCACTCTTTTTTATATTTTTAAAATTTTTTAAACATTTTGTCAATTACCAAACACATTTGTAGTTTATGTTTTTCTAAAAATAAATAAAAATAAACAAAAACCAGTTTATAAAATTTTTGTAAATATAAACTGAAAACGTAAACGTTACCAAATGCAGCGATTAATCTAAAGGAATTAAATGAGAGGCGAGGACCCACGTGCGCACAAGCAAGAACATCCTCCGGAAACCTCTCTGCTTGATGCCAGCAATTGCCCTATTCGCAATCAGAAAACAGTTCTGTTTTGGCCACAAGATCTGCTCTGCTTATCTGAAATACTACCACTGCCGTACGAAAGGGGTAGCCGGCCGGCCTCATAGACTAGTCATCCGTACAAAACGATGGCCGGCCGGCCACTAGTTCTGGGGAAATACCTGCCACGACAGAACTGAACTAGAGCAAAATAGAGGGTTTCCAAAGGATGTTCATCCTTCCTACTCCCTCCTGTCACGAAGATTTTCAAGGAGAGAGTAGGTTTGTTTCACAAATCATCAACCATCGCAAATTTGTTGCATGATGATCTTAGAAGCAATAGGAAAAGGCTTTTACTAAACACGACGACTTTACTAAACACAACAAAAAGCAAGACTATTCTACCTACCTCTTTTCTATCATGAAGTTACTTCAAGGAAAAGACGGACAATCTTTAAGGTGTACAACAATAGCATGAAAGTAAGAAGTTTATAGCTAGTTAAGCAAACTTGTGGCGGGGTGGCTAAGCCTAAGCTCTAATCCTCCCATGACCACAAGGTTCCAAGATACACAGGGAAAGCTAAACAAAGTAAAACTATCAACTCAAATGGATTGGCCACTATATCCCAAACACGCCAAATCCGTGAGGACTTACAACAATACAACTATAGTATTCAAAGCATAAATTAACACATTAAACAGCCCACAAACAACACAAAACAGTGCTGAAAATCAGTTTTAGGAGGTGGAAAAAGTGAGCAAAAATGGAATAAAGCCAAGAGGCTTCATCTAGCAAACAAGCCTACGGAAGGGTGGTTAACCCCCCCCACTTTTGGTAACTCTAAGGCCAAGTTTGGCAAGTTGTCAAAAAGTTAAAAAGTCAAAAAGTTACTCAAAAAGTTAAAAAGTTATCACTATTCACCAAAAGTCAAAAATTACGGCTGCACAACTCTCAATCCTAATTTTCCCCTACACACTAATTTATACAATTTTTTAATACACATTTTTTCATAAAAAGTCAAAAAGTTAACCCAAACATCCATATTTTTTTCCTCAATTTTTTAGTCCAAAAAGACAAAAAGTGCACTTATTTAGGACACCCCAAACAACCCCTAAATCACATATTTCAACCCCAAAATACTCTGAAAAATAGTATGTAAAGACAAGAAAAAGAGAGAGAAAAGGTCATGAAAAAGGTTCAAAGTTCAACCTCTTGAAAAGAGGAAGAGCTTCTCGATTCACAAACTTCATCCAAAGTATCTGGAATTATGTTCAAAACTTCAGCAAAAAGCTTCAAGTTTAAGCTTCAATGGTGTATCTATTATGTATCTATATTCAAGAGGGTGGAGGAAAGCGTTGGGCAATTGTCTAAGCCTTTGGGAAATTGTTCTAACCCTAAACTCTGAAGGGAGGTGCCGTATTTATAGAGTTTCAACCGCCTTCTAATGTAAATATCTTCAAAAGATAGCAACTAACCAAATCCCGTGCATGGGAGCAATCTGCTGCTGCAAAATATCTGTTTCGCTAACCATGGCCGGCCGGCCATCCTCCAAAAGAATGTGGCTTGCCGGTCATTTTTTGGTCTTGCTGCTTTTTGAGTGATCAAACTGGAAAAATAGGTTTTGGTCCAAATGGGGTGCAAGGTTTGGGTTTGAAGCTCAAAACTAAATTCTTTTGCTGAAGATTCGAAAGATTGTACAGTATAATATTTCATCATTGAGTATTCGGAATGAAGCGCCCAAGTCTTAAGGTCAGTCAAAATGGGGCGTCTACACCAACTTGGTTAGGTTTTTGAAATAGCAAGGATGGGTGTCAATGTCTTGTAGTAAAATAATGAAGACCTCGATGAAGCTGACATATAAAAGGCATGTTGACTATTTTTTTAGTCACACAAAACAATGAATATTTGAAAAAAAAAAATCAAACAAATATTTTCAAAGATACATAAAGTTATAAATTATAATACCTTAATAGCTAGTTTGCATCATGTCAAGAATGCCAGATTTAAAATAAAATTATAGTTGAATAGTCTATTTTACAAACTTTCTAAGACTCAGTAACAAAGGCATTGTCAGCCAAAAATAAATGAACCAATCTCATACCTATGAAGTATGGACACTCCAAAATCGGTGCCGTGGCGGTGTCTGACACGTGGATACGCCGAGGACACGCTAAGGACACACCAGATGGCGTGTCCTTTTAATTTAATGAATTTTTTGTAGGGGATACGTCGGGGACACGCGTGACCATATCGGGACACGAAATGGGACATGGTGGGGCTCATTTTTAATTTTGTTATATTTATTTGGAGTCAAATTGTAATATTTAAAAAGCATAAAAAAATAAAAAAAATTAAGACAATGTAAAAAATCAACACAAAAATCGTTCCTTGCCCTAATCGTAACAAACGACAGAGAGTGAAGGAATAGAGTGAAAGGGAGAACCTATCGCCAACTTGAACCAGTTGATCCACCACCTCCATCCAATCGATCGACGACCCCCGACCCCCATCAAGTCAAGCGAAGACCTCTGAAAACCTTCATTAGTTGATTGTGAGCTCCATCCAGTCGAGCTCCATCCAGACGACTTTGAAGGTAAGCCCCTCTCTCTCTCTCTCTCTCTCTCTCTCTCTTCGTAAACTGGGGCTCATTTTTTTTTGTTTGTACTTTATTATATATATATATATATATGTATGTGTGTGTGTGTAAGGTTGTTCTCATTTTTTTGTAATTATATGTTTATATATCACTAGAACTGTATTTTTTTTTTTTTTTAAAAAAAATTATAGATTTATATATACATATACACAATATGTAAAAAAAATAAATAAATAAAAAATAAAAAATAAAAATTCCCTTCTAATGTTAATGTTAATTTATAATGGTTATAATTTATAGGAAAAATGTCTAGTTCAAATTCTGCCACTAACACACCATCTACCATTGATGCTGAAGATGATAAGCCACTGTGGAAATATGTGACTAGATTAGAAAAATCTAGTGCAAGAGGGAAGAACTATACTTTTCAATGTAACTTTTGTCGGGCTACACGTAAAGCTTCATACACTAGGGTAAAAGCCCATTTGATGCAAATTAAAAATCAAGGGATAGAAGTGTGTCCAAAAGTAACAAGTAAGGATAAAGCTGAATTTGAGAGAGTAATTGCAGAAGCAGAGTTGAAATTGAAAAACTCTAGGTTGAAGAAAGTCCCATTGCCTCCTCCTAGTTCAAGTGCATCATTAGGTTTATGTGTCAATGAACCAGAGAAGATCTATGGATCAAAAAGGAAGAGGTCAACTGCTATAGGGAGTGGAAGTAGTAACCCTGTTATGAAAGCATTTAACATTGGGGCTCAAGAACAATTAAATGGTAAGATAGCTAGAATGTTTTATTCAGCAGGCTTGCCATTTCATTTGGCAAGAAATCCTTACTATATTAGTGCATTTACTTTTGCTGCAAATAACAACATACAAGGATATGTACCGCCTGGGTATAACATGTTGAGAACTACATTGCTTCAAAAAGAAAGGATAAACATTAATAGGCTGTTAGACCCTATTTGAGGCACATGGAGGGAGAAGGGTGTGAGTATAGTCAGTGATGGATGGAGTGATTCCCAACAAAGGCCATAAATAAATTTTATGGCTGTTACCAGAGGTGGGCCTATGTTTGTTAAAACGGTTGATTGCTCAGGGGAAACAAATGACAAGTATTTTATTTCCAACTTGATGAAGGAAGTAATCATGGAGGTTAGGCCTAAAAATGTGGTTCAAGTCATTACATATGATGTCCCAAATTGCAAGGCGGCGGGGCACCTAATTGAAGCGCAATTTCCTCACATCTTTTGGACTCCTTGTGTTGTGCACACCCTCAATCCTGCCTTGAAGAATATTTGTGCCGCCATGAATGTGGAAAATAATTCAGTTGCATTTGAAGAGTGTAATTGGATTATTGAGATTGTGGGTGATGTAATGATGATCAAGAATTTTATTTGTAATCATTGCATGAGGTTGGCAATGTACAATCGGTTTGTGAGTTTGAAGCTTCTTTTAATTGCGGAGACACACTTTGCTTCTTCCATTATCATGCTTAAGAGGATCAAGTTGATAAAGCAAGGTATCCAAACAATGGTAATCAGTGACAAATGGAGTTGTTATAGAAATGATGATATTGGTAAGGCCAAGTTTGTGAAGGATAAGTTGTTGGATGACTTTTGGTCAGATCAAGTCGACTACATACTTTTCTTTGCTGCTCCTATTTATGACATGATTAGAGTTTGTGACACCGATAGACCTTCTCTTCACTTAGTATATGACATGTGGGATACAATGATAGAAAAAGTGAAGATGGTGATATATAAGCATGAAGGAAAGCGACTAGAAGAAGAGTCTACATTCTATAATGTAGTACATCAGATTCCTATAGACCGGTGGAACAAAAACAACACACCACTTCATTGCTTGACACACTCATTGAATCCAAGATGATGACAACACAGTTTACTATTTTTATTGATTTAAGCTTAATATTATTCTTTCACATTTATAATGAGTAGTACATTTTTTTCATTTTAGGTACTATAGTGATGTGTGGCTTCATGAGGATCCAAGCCGAGTTCCCCCACATGGGGATGAGAAGGTCTGCCTTGAGAGAAAAAAGTGCTTGAAAATGTTCTTTTTTGATCTAATGAAGCGCACTAGAGCAAAATTGGAGTATGCCAAGTTCTCAACCGAAGAGGGGCCATTTGTTGACATTGATTCCATTGGAGATAGATGTGATATGGATCCTCATAGTTGGTGGGGTGTTCATGGTGCATCTGCATCCACTCTTCAATCTTTGGCTTTAAGGCTACTTGTGCAACCTTCTTCTTCATCATGTGCTGAGAGGAATTGGAGTATATACTCTTTTATCCATTCAATGAGAAGAAACAAGATGACACCCCAACGTGCAGAGGACTTGGTTTTTGTTCATAGCAACCTCCGTCTTTTATCAAGGAGAACCCCACAATACCATGAAGGAGAGACCAAGTTATGGGATATTGCGGGCGACACATTTGATTCATTTGATGATGTTGGAATGCTTGAGGTTGCAAATCTGTCACTTGATGAACCTGAGATGGAGGTTGTGTTGTTTACAGATGATGGAGGTGCAAACGAAGAAAAAGGTGGTGATGCTAATGATGATGAAGACGTGCAAGAAATTGGATCTACTTGAAACTTGAATTAATATTACTATGTTAGTATTTGTTAATTTTGATTTAGGATGAATGTAATATGAATCTACATGACATATAAAAATATATAATAAAAACAAAATTCACCATGTCCTCCGCCGTGTCCGTGTCCCAATTTTTTGGAAATTGCCATGTTTTGTGTCTGTTTCTTTTTGAAGCAATGTAGTTCTCAACATGTTATACCAATGCGGTACATATCCTTGTATGTTGTTATATGCAGCAAAAGTAAATACACTAACACGGTAAGGATTTTTTGCCAAATGAAATGGCAAGTCTGCTGAATAAAACATTCCAGCTATTTTACCATTTAATCGTTCTCGAGCCCTAATGTTAAATGCTTTCGTAACAGGGTCACTACTTCCACTCCCTATAGTAGTTGACCTCTTCCTTTTTTATCCATAGATCTCCTCTGGTTCATTGAAACATAAACCTAATGATGCACTTGAACTAGGAGGAGGCAATGGGACTTCTTCAACCTAGAGTTTTTCAATTTCAACTCTGTTTCTGCAGTTATTCTCTCAAATTCAGCTTTATCCTTACTTGTTACTTTTGGACACACTTCTATCCCTTGATTTTTAATTTGCATCAAATGGGCTTTTACCCTAGTGTATGAACCTTTACGTGTAACCCGACAAAAGTTACATTGAAAAGTATAATTCCCCCCCTTTGCACCAGATTTTTCTAATCTAGTCACATATTTCCACAGTGGCTTATTATCTTCAACCACCTTTTTCATCGTTTGCGCCTCCATCATCTGTAAACAACACAACCTCCATCTCAGGTTCATCAAGTGAGAGATTGGCAACCTCAAGCATCCTAACATCATCAAATGAATCAAACGTGTCGCCCGCAATATCCCACAACTTGGTTTCTCCTTCAAGGTATTGTGGGGTTCTCCTTGATTAAAGACGGAGGTTGCTATGAATAAGAACCAAGTCCCTTGCACGTTGGGGTGTCATATTGTGTCTTCTCATTCAATGGATAAAAGAGTATATACTCCAATTCCTCTTAGCACATGACGAAGAAGAAGGTTGCACAAGTAGCCTTAAAGCCAAAGATTGAAGAGTGGGTGCAGATGCACCATGAACACCCCACCAACTATGAGGATCCATATCACATCTATCTCCAATGGAATCAATGTCAACAAATGGCCCCTCTTTGGTTGAGAACTTGGCATACTCCAATTTTGCTCTAGTGCGCTCCATTGGATCATCAAAGAACATTTTCAAGCACTTTTTTCTCTCAAGGCAGACCTTCTCATCCCTATGTGGGGGAACTCGGCTTGGATCCTCATGAAGCCACACATCACTATAATACCTAAAATAAAAAAAATGTACTACTCATTATAAATGTGAAAGAATAATATTAAGCTTAAATCAATAAAAATAGTAAACTGTGTTGTAATCACCTTGGATTCAATGAGAGTGCCAAGCAATGAAGTGGTGTGTTGTTCTTGTTCCACCGGTCTACAAGAATCTAATGTACTACATTATAGAATGTAGACTTTTCTTCTTGTCGCTTTCCTTCATGCTTATATATCACCATCTTCACTTTTTCTATCATTGTATTCCACATGTCACATACTAAGTGAACAAAAGGTCTATCGGTGTCACAAACTCTAATCATGTCTTAAATAGGAGCAACAAAGGAAAGTATGTAGTTGACTTGATCCCACCAAAAGTCATCCAACAACTTATCCTTCACAAACTTGGCCTTACCAATATCATCATCCCTCTAACAACTCCATTTGTCACTGATTACCATTGTTTGGATACCTTGCTTTATCAACTTGGGCCTCTTAAGCATGACAATGGAAGAAGCAAAGCATGTCTCGGCAATTAAAAGAAGCTTCAAACTCACAAACTTATTGTACATTGCCAACCTCATGGAATGATTACAAATAAAATTCTTGATCATCACCACATCACCCACAATCTCACTAATTCAATTACACTCTTCAAATGCAACTTAATTATTTTCCACATTATTGGCAGCACAAATACTCTTCAAGGCAAGATTAAGGGTGTGCACAACACAAAGAGTCCAAAAGATGTGAAGAAATTGCGCTTCAATTAGGTGCCCGCCTTGCAATTTGTGGCATTATCTGTAATGACTTGAACCACATTTTTAGGCCCAACCTCCATAATTACTTCCTTTATCAAGTTGGAAATAAAATACTTGTCCTTTGTTTCCCCTGAACAAGCAACCGCTTTAACAAACATAGGCCCACCTCCGGTAACAACCATAAAATTTATTAATGGCCTTCGTTGGGAATCACTCCATCCATCACTGACTATACTCACACCCTTCTCTCTCCATGTGCCTCGAATAGGGTCTAACAATCTATCAATGTTTGTCCTTTCTTTTTGAAGCAATGCGAGGGCGGGAGCGAGGAAGCGTGAGCCGATAGAAGTTTCTTAGGTTGGGAGCGTCTCGGGAAGCGGTAATATATATATATATATATATATATTTTAATACACATTATAAATATTTTTATTTTAATACACATTAATTATTTTATTTATTTATTATATTTTTTAAATAATGTGTTATTGTTAATTTATTTTTATTTTATTTTACATATATGTGTGTGTTTTTTTTTATTAATATGTATAATATATACTCATATATATTATATTTGTATGTGTTAATGTTTTTTTATGTAAATATATTATAAAGATTATATATATTAATATTTTTATTTTTTTTATTATATATTTATATGTATATATATGATATATATTAAATAATAATGTGTTAATGTTTTTTATTTTTTTATTTTTTAAATATATATATTTATTTAAAGATTTTATATGTTTTATCTTATATATATATATATATATATATATTTTATTTATTTAAAGATTTTATATGTTTTATCTTATATATAGATATATTTTACTTATATATTAGGTATATATCGTGACAGAAGGAGAGAGAGAGAGAGAGCGCGAGTGAGAGAAGGCAAAGACAAAGGCAGAGGAGATGATCTGCGAGAGACAGAGAGAAAGAGGAGCTGCGAGAGAGACGAACTGCGACAGAGACGAAAAACACACAGAGAGAGACGAACTGTGATAGAGACGAAAAACAGAGAGAGAGAGAAACGACCTTCGAAGTGATGAAAGAAGTAGAAAAAGGAAGCAAAGGACATATCAGACACAACCTTCAGGTTCTTCTTCACTTTCTTTCTCCTCTCTCTCTTTGTTGACCAACAAGCTAGGGTTTTTGTTCTTCTTCACTAACGATCCCATCTTGGACAGGATCGCATTTCTCTCTCTACGGAAACGCGATTCCTACACGTTTCTTTCTAAGAAACACGGAATCACGTTTCTTACGAAGATTTGTCACCTGTTAGCACGATTCCTGCAACTAAGCTCCATCCATCACTGACTATACTCACACTCTTCTCCTTCCACATGCCTCGAATAGGATCTAACAACCTATCAATGTTTATCCTTTCTTTTTGAAGCAATGTAGTTCTCAACATGTTATGCCCAGGCGGTACATATTCTTGTATGTTGTTATTTGTAGCAAAAGTAAATGCACTAACATAGTAAGGATTTCTTGCCAAATGAAATGGCAAGCCTGCTGAATAAAACATTCTAGCTATCTTACCATTTAATTGTTCTCGAGCCCCAATGTTAAATGCTTTCATAACAGGGTTACTACTTCCACTCCCTATAGCAATTGACATCTTCCTTTTTGATCCATAGATCTTCTCTAGTTCATTGAAACATAAACATAATGATGCACTTGAACTAGGAGGAGGCAATGGGACTTTCTTCAATCTAGAGTTTTTCAATTTCAACTCTACTTCTGCAATTATTCTCTCAAATTCAGCTTTATCCTTACTTGTTACTTTTGGACACACTTCTATACCTTGATTTTTAATTTGCATCAAATGGGCTTTTACCCTAGTGTATGAACCTTTACGTGTAGCCCGACAAAAGTTCATTGAAAAGTATAGTTCCCTCCTCTTGCACTAGATTTTTCTAATCTAGTCACATATTTCCACAGTGGCTTATCATCTTCGGCATCAAAGGCAAATGGTGTGTTAGTGGCAGAATTTGAACTAGACATTTTTCCTATAAATTATAACCATTATAAACTAACATTAACATTAGAAGGGGAGAAAAAAAAAAGTTTCACATACTGTGTATATATATATAAACCTATAAAAAAAAAATTTAAAAAAATATAGTTTTAGAGATATATATACATATATATAAACATATAATTACAAAAAAATGCAAAAAGTCTTACATATATATATAAACGATAAAAAAATAAAAATGAGCCCTAGTTTACAAATACGCGAGAGAGAGAGAGAGGGGCTTACCTTCGAAGTCGTCTGGATGGAAGACGACTGGATAGAGCTCGACTGGATGGAGATCGACTGATGGAGCTCATAATCAACTGATGGAGGTCTTCAGAGATCTTTGATCGACTTGATGGGGTTCGAGGGTCGGGGGTCTTCGATCGACTGGATGGAGGTGGTGGATCGATTGGTTCAATCACTCTATTCCTTCACTCTCTGTTGTTTGTTACGATTAGGGCAAGGAATGATTTCTGTGTTGATCTTTTACATCGTTGTTTTTTTTTTTTTACTCTTTAAATATTACACTTTGACCCCAAATAAATATAACAAAATAAAAAATAAGCCCCGTCGTGTCCCATGTCGTGTCCCGATATGGACACGCATGTCCCCGCCGTGTCCCTTACAAAAAATTCATTAAATTAAAGGGACACGCCATCTGACATGTCCCCGTGTCCCCGGTGTATCTGCGTGTTGGACACCACCACGGCACCGATTTTGGAGTGTCCATGCTTCATAGGTGTGTACCATATGCAAGTTATGACATTTGTGGTGTTGATTACCACAAATGTCATAACTAAATCCTTTTTAGTATAACTAAAAAAAATATAATGAGTCATAACCAAATACCACATAAGATATAACCGAAGACCTTTTCGGCCATAACCCAAAATAATAATCACAATAGGTCATAACCAACATCACAATAAGTCATAACTTACACCATAATGAGTCATAACCAAATCATAACTACCACCACAATAGGTTATAACCAATGACCACAAATGTCATAACTGGAGCATATGTTACACACCCCAAAATGGGGTGTGTATTATAGAATTTCCCAAATTAAAAAAAGACATAACTCTATGTGTTGTGTGTCTCTCTATTGTTCTTTCTTCAATCTAACATGTGTTCAGCTCATTTTTCAAATTCCATAGAAGAATTTTATAATTTCTTTTATTAAACCTAGTGCAAACAATAGCAAAGATTATCCTGAATCATGGCTCCAAGAACCAGTTGAGTTCAATTTCCTTTGTTACATTGTATCACCATTTTTAGGACCAGCTACGGAAAAGAACCACAAGATAGTTACAATATCTAGCAATTGAAACATCTCTTGCAAAAGGAACATATAAACAAAGTACTATAACTGCATGTCCAGAAAGGAATATTGAATTAACTGTATGATCCAACTTGCTTGTCTAAACATATGAAGGAGAAGCCTGGAATTCCTAAGAGGGTACCAGCCCCATCAATATTAAAAAATTATGACATTAGCCCCTGAGATTGAAAAAATAAATAAAAACACAGAACTTATTGACTTTTACCAAGCATTTTTGACTTTTCATACACACCCTTTCAACTTCTTCCATATCTATTTAATTATTTTAGAAATAATAATTATTTCCTCTTTTCAACTTCTCCTATACCTATTTAATTATTTTGGAAATAATAATTATCCCTTAGTTTATGAATTTTAAATGGAAAGATAACAAAAATATTTCATAATCTCTCCATTTTAATTTCTCTCGTCGATTTCCAAAAGAAAATGTGTGTTTTTTTTTTTTTTTTTTTTGGGGGGGGGGGGGGGTTTTTTGTGGTTTTTTTTTTATTTTACGTTTTTTTCTTTTTTTTTTTTTTTTTTATACGCTTATATATATATATGTAAGACTGTATTTATTTTTTTGTAATTATATGTTTATATATATGGATATATATCTCTAAAATTGTATTTTTTTTTAAATATAGGTTTATATGTATACACACCATGTAAAACCTTTTTTTTTTTTCCTTTTCCTTCTAATGTTAATGTTAATTTATAAATGTTATAATTTATATGAAAAATGTCTAGTTCAAATTCTGCCAATAACACACCATCTGCCTTTGATGCTGAAGATGATAAGCCACTATGGAAATATGTGACTAGATTAGAAAAATCTAGTGCAAGAGGGGGGAACTATACTTTTCAATGTAACTTTTATCGGGCTACACGTAAAGGTTCATACACTAGGGTAAAAGCCCATTTGATGCAAATTAAAAATCAAGGGATAGAAGTGTGTCTAAAAGTAACAAGTAAGGATAAAGCTGAATTTGAGAGAGTAATTGCACAAGCAGAGTTGAAATTGAAAAACTCTAGGTTGAAGAAAGTCCCATTGCCTCCTCCTAGTTCAAGTGCATCATTAGGTTTATGTTTCAATGAACCAGAGGAGATCTATGGATAAAAAATGAAGAGGTCAACTGCTATAGGGAGTGGAAGTAGTAACCCTGTTAAGAAAGCATTTAACATTGGGGCTCGAGAACGATTAAATGACGAGATAGTTAGAATGTTTTATTTAGCAGGCTTGCCATTTCATTTGGCAAGAAATCATTACTATGTTAGTGCATTTACTTTTGCTGCAAATAACAACATACAAGGATATGTACCGCCTGGGTATAACATGTTGAGAACTACACTGCTTCAAAAAGAAATGTTAACATTGATAGGTTGTTAGCCCCTATTCGAGGCCCATGGAGAGAGAAGGGTGTGAGTATAGTCAGTGATGGATGGAGTGATTCCCAACGAAGGCCATTAATAAATTTTATGGCTGCTACCGGAGGTGGGCCTATGTTTGTTAAAACGGTTGATTGTTCAGGGAAAACAAAGGACAATTATTTTATTTCCAACTTGATGAAGGAAGTAATCCTGAAGGTTAGGCCTAAAAATGTGGTTCAAGTCATTACAGATAATGCCCAAATTGTAAGGCGGCGGGGCACCTAATTGAAGCGCAATTTCCTCACATCTTTTGGACTCCTAATGTTGTGCACACCTCTAATCCAAGAATGTGGAAAATAATTCAGTTGCATTTGAAGAGTTTAATTGGATTAGTGAGATTGTGGGTGATGTGATGATGATCAAGAATTTTATTTGTAATCATTCCATGAGGTTGGCAATGTGCAATGAGTTTGTGAGTTTGAAGCTTCTTTCAGTTGCCGAGACACGCTTTGCTTCTTCCATTGTCATGCTTAAGAGGGTCAAGTTGATAAAGCAAGGTATCCAAACAATGGTAACCAGTGACAAATGGAATTGTTATATGAATGATGATATTGGTAAGGCCAAGTTTGTGAATGATAAGTTGTTGGATGACTTTTGGTGGAATCAAGTCGACTACATACTTTTCTTTGATGCTCCTATTTATGACATGATTAGAGTTTGTGACACCGATAGACCTTCTCTTCACTTTGTTTATGACATGTGGGATACAATGATAGAAAAAGTGAAGATGGTGATATATAAGCATGAAGGAAAGCTACTAGAAGAAGAGTCTACATTCTATAATGTAGTACATCAAATTCTTGTAGACCGGTAGAACAAGAACAGCACACCACTTCATTGCTTGGCACAATCGTTGAATCCAAGGTGATTACAACACAATTTACTATTTTTATTAATTTAAGCTTAATATTATTCTTTCACATTTATAATGAGTAGTACATTTTTTTCATTTTAGGTATTATAATGATGTGTGGCTTCGTGAGGATCCAAGCCGAGTTCCCCCACATAGGGATGAGGAGGTTTGCCTTGAGAGAAAAAAGTGCTTGAAAAGGTTCTTTGATGATCCAATGGAGCGCACTAGAGCAAATTTGGAGTATGCCAAGTTCTTAACCAAAGAGGGGCCATCTGCTGACATTGATCCATTGGAGATAGATGTGATATGGATCCTCATAATTGGTGGGTTGTTCATGGTGCATTTGCACATACTCTTCAATCTTTGGCTTTAAGGCTACGGTGGGAGACACAACGATTTTTTTTTTTGTTTTTTTTCTATATATATATTTTTATGCGTTGTGTAGATTCATATTACATTCATCTTAAATCAAAATTAACAAGCACTAACATAGTAACATTAATACAAGCTTCAAGTAGATCCAATTTCTTGCACATCTTCATCATGATTAGCATCACCATCTTTTTCTTCGTTTGCACCTCCATCATTTGTAAACAACACAACCTCCATCTCAGGTTCATCAAGTGAGAGATTTGCAACCTCAAGCATCCCAACATCATTAAACGAATCAAATGTGTCGCCCGCAATATCCCATAACTTGGTCTCTCCTTCAAGGTATTGTGGGGTTCTCCTTGATAAAAGATGGAGGTCGCTATGAACAAAAACCAAGTCCTCTGCACGTTGGGGTATCATCTTGTTTCTTTTCATTGAATGGATAAAAGAGTATATACTACAATTCCTCTCAGCACATGACAAAAAAGAAGGTTGCACAAGTAGTCTTAAAGCCAAAGATTGAAGAGTGGGTACAGATGCACCATGAACAAGCCACCAACTATGAGGATCCATATCACATCTATCTCCAATGGAATCAATGTCAGCAAATGGCACCCTCTTTGGTTGAGAACTTGGCATACTCCAAATTTGCTCTAGTGCGCTCCATTGGATCATCAAAGAACCTTGTCAAGCACTTTTTTTTCTCAAGGCAAACCTCCTCATCCCTATGTGGGGAAACTTGGCTTGGATCCTCATGAAACCACACATCACTATAATACCTAAAATGAAAAAAATGTACTACTCACTATAAATGTGAAAGAATAATATTAAGCTTAAGTTAATAAAAATAGTAAATTGTGTTGTAATCACCTTGGATTCAATGAGTGTGCCAAGCAATGAAGTGGTGTGTTGATCTTGTTCCACCGGTCTACAAGAATCTAATGTACTACATTATAAAATGTAGACTCTTCTTCTAGTAACTTTCCTTCATGCTTATATATCACCATCTTCACTTTTTCTATCATTATATCCCACATGTCATATACTAAGTGAAGAGAAGGTCTATCGGTGCCACAAACTCTAATCATGTCATAAATAGGAGCAGCAAAGGAAAGTATGCAGTCGACTTGATCCCACCAAAAGTCATCCAACAACTTATCATTCACAAACTTGGCTTTACCAATATCATCATCCCTATAACAACTCCATTTGTCACTGATTACCATTGTTTGGATACCTTGCTTTATCAACTTGACCATCTTAAACATGACAATGGAAGAAGCAAAGCGTGTCTCGGCAACTGAAAGAAGCTTCAAACTTACAAACTCGTTGTACATTGCCAACCTCATGGAATGATTACAAACAAAACTCTTGATCATCATCACATCACTCACAATCTCACTAATCCAATTACACTCTTCAAATGCAACTAAATTATTTTCCACATTCTTGGATTGAGGGTGTGCACAACACAAGGAGTCCAAAAAATGTAAGGAATTTTGCTTCAATTAGGTGCCCCGCCGCCTTGCAATTTGGGACATTATCTGTAATGACTTGAACCACACTTTTAGGCCCAACCTCGTGATTATTTCCTTCATCAAGTTGGAAATAAAATACTTGTCATTTGTTTCCCTTGAACAATCAACCGCTTTAACAAACATAGGCCCATCTCCAGCAACAACCATAAATTTATTAATGGCCTTCGTTGGGAATCACTCCATCCATCACTGACTATACTCACACCCTTCTCTCTCTATGTGTCTTGAATAGGGTCTAACAACCTATCAATGTTTATCCTTTCTTTTTGAAGCAGTGCAGTTCTCAACATGTCATACCCAAGCAGTACATATCCTTGTATGTTGTTATTTGCAGCAAAAGTAAATGCACTAATATAGTAATGATTTCTTGCCAAATGAAATGGCAAGCCTGCTAAATAAAACATTCTAGCTATCTCACCATTTAATCGTTCTCGAGCCCCAATGTTAAATGCTTTCATAATAAGGTTACTTCTTCCACTCCCTATAGCAGTTGACCTCTTCCTTTTCGATCCACAGATCTCCTCTGGTTCATTGAAACATAAACCTAATGATGCACTTGAACTAAGAGGAGGCAATGAGACTTTCTTTAACTTAGAGTTTTTCAATTTCAACTCTGCTTCTACAATTACTCTCTCAAATTCAGCTTGATCCTTACTTGTTACTTTTGGACACACTTCTTTCCCTTGATTTTTAATTTGCATCAAAAGGGCTTTTACCCTAGTGTATGAACCGTCACATGTAGGCCGACAAAAGTTACATTAAAAAGTATAGTCCCCCCCTCTTCCACCAGATTTTCTAATCTAGTCACATATTTCCACAATGGCTTATCATCTTCAGCATCAAAGGCAGATGGTGTTTTATTGGCAGAATTTGAACTAGACATTTTTCATATAAATTATAACATTTATAAATTAACATTAACATTAGAAGGAAAAGGAAAAAAAAAAAGGTTTTACATAGTGTGTATATATATAAACCTATATTTTTTTTTTAAAAAAAATACAATTTTAGAGATATATATCCATATATATAAACATATAATTACAAAAAAATAAATACAGTCTTACATATATATATATACGTATAAAATAAAAATAAAAAATGAGCCCTAGTATACGAATACGAGAGAGAAAGAGAGAGAGAGAGAGAGAGGGCTTACCTTTAAAGTCGTCTGGATGGAGATCAACTGATGGAGCTCACAATCGACTGATGGAGGTCATCAGAGGTCTTCGATCAACTTGATGGGGATCGGGGGTCTTCGATCGACTGGATAGAGGTGGTGGATCGATTGGTTCAAGTTGGCGATAGGTTCTCTCTTTCACTCTATTCCTTCACTCTCTATCATTTGTTACGATTAGGGCAAAGAATGATTTTTGTGTTGATCTTTTACATCGTTGTTTTTTCTTTTTGTTTTTTTTTTTTACTTTTTAAATATTACACTTTGACCTCAAATAAATATAACAAAGTTAAAAATGAGCCCCGTTGTGTCCCGTGCTGTGTCTTGATATGGACACGAGTGTCCCCGCCGTATCCCCTACAAAAAAATTCATTAAATTAGAGGGACACGCCATTTGGCGTGTCCCGTACATGTACCCAGCATGTCCCTGTGTCCCCGGAGTATCCACGTGTTGGACACTGCCACAACACCGATTTTAAAGTGTCCATGCTTCATAGGTATGTACCATATGCAAGTTATGACATTTGTGATGTTGATTACCACAAATGTCATAACTACATCCTTTTTAGTCATAACTAAAAAAAAATATAATAAATCATAACCAAATACCACATAAGATATAACTGAAGACCTTTTCAGCCATAACCCAAAATAATAATCACAATAGGTCATAACCAACATCACATGGAGTCATAACCAACACCATAATGAGTCATAACCAAATCAAAACTAACACCACAATAGGTCATAACCAATGACCACAAACATCATGGAGCATATGTTACACACCCCAAAATGGGGTGTGTATTATAGAATTTCCCAAATTAGAATAAGACATAACTCGTCTGTCTCTCTATTGTTCTTCCTTCAATCTAACATGTGTTCAGCTCATTTTTCAAATTCCATAGAAGAATTTTATAATTTCTTTTATTAAACCTAGTGCAAACAATATCAAAGATTATCCTGAATCATGGCTCCAAGAACCAGTTGAGTTCAATTTCCTTTGTTACATTGTATCATCATTTTTAGGACCAGCTATGGAAAAGAACCACAAGATAGTTACAATATCTAGCAATTGAAACTTCTCTTGGAAAAAGAACATATAAACAAAGTACTATAACTGTATGTCCAGAAAGGAATATTGAATTAACTGTATGATCCAACTTGCTTGTCTTAACATATGAAGGAGAAAGCTGTAATTCCTAAGAGGGTACCAGCCCCATCAATATTAACAAATTATGACATTAGCCCCTGAGATTGAAAAAAATAAATAAAAAAACAGAACTTGATGATTTTTCGTGTAGGAAAAGGCAGTGGGGGATATGAAGAGTGCATGTGATTGTTGGATTTGGGGAGAGAAATGATGAAGGTAGTGTCATCCCGGAGTTTGAAATGACATATGACTTTGTAATAGCAAACACATGTTTTAAGAAGAGATTTGTGAAAGTGGAACCAATACTAGCAAAGCAGATTTCTTCATTACATGAATGGTTGATAAAGGAATATGTAAAGAATGCAAAATAATAGTAGAAGAGTCTCACTACACAACATAGGTTAACGGTATCAGATGTATGAATTAGAATGGAAGATGAAGAGTAAGTGGGAGGAAGAAAAAAGGAAACATAGATTGATTCAAGTTGAAACTTTGGCACAATGTTTTTCTGATCTAGTTAGAACTCAAAGCAAGCCTAGTTTTCTTCATCTATAACCATGTATATAAATTATTAAAAGAAATTATAGCATGAAGTAATTAGTAGAGATAAATCATGAAGAATATCAGTTCTTTTAAAAACTTTACCTACATTGAAGTTCTTTGTGGGAAAATTCCACGTAAATGGTAGATTCCAGTTGTAACTAAGTTCTAAAATATCAAATGCAGGTTTATCATTCATATATGCAAAATTCTTAACACCTGCACTACACAATCTATTCATTGTTGGGCTAATATATGCAATTTGTCATTTTTAATAGATGTTGTAGTGAGTAGTAAATCTTTTAGTGATAGATCTACTTATTCTAACAACAATGGTTTGCCAACCAATACCAAAACCAGAGCCAATTGAAACAATTAATCAAATATTTAGGTTAAATGAAATGCACAGAATACCATTAAAGAAGTGTTGTTAAGAGAGACTAGGTTAAAACAAGAAATCCATAGTTTCTAGGTGTTTGTTAGCACAAACACAAATAACAGGTTGTTTGTGGATCAATACCATCAGACATAAACCCATATTAGTTAAAGATGATACCAGCAGTCAGATGGAAGTACTCAAAAAGTTTGGAATC